GTGGTTTTATTTGACAAAGTGACACACTGATAAATTCGAAGAGCCCAACTCTGCAGTTCTTATAGCATTTTAGTATCTTTCAGTTGACTGTTTTGGTTTTACATTCAGTTATCCTTCATTATCCTGCTTTCTCAGATTCAAATATTTCTTAATTTCGAAGAATGAACTTGTAGGTTTTGGTGTGCTGAGCCAAACAAATACTCCAAATTGTTTTGTTTTTTCAAAAGCGGATCTAATATTTAGTTGCATTGCTATTTGATAAATTATATTGGAACAGACAGCAAAAAACTTCATTGGGAACACCTGTTCAACTGCTTGTTAAGACAAATATTTAATCAGCCAAACATATGACCAAGACAAGCAGCTAAAGTTCAAAGCATCAGAATGGGGAATAAAGTTTATTAAAGTGACTCGGAACATGGCATGTTTGTTGGTGCCAGTTCGGCTGAGTATTTAAGAAACTGCTGATCTACTGAGACTATCTCTAGAGTTTACAGAAAATGGCCTGAAAAAGAAAAAATATCCAGTGAGCAGTACTACTCTGTTGGGATGTGAGCGATGACTCAAAAATGCCTTATTGATGCCAGAGATCAGAGGAGACTGCTTCAAGCTAGGAAGTAAACAGTAACTCAGTAACTCTTGTTACAACCAAGGTATGCAGAAGAGCACATCTGAATGCACAACATGTCGAACCAGGAAAGAGATGGCGACTGCAGCAGAAGACCACACTACTCCTGTCAGAAAAGAACAGGAAACTAAGGCTACAACTGAACAATAAAGGCTGCTTGGTCTGATCAGCCTTGATTTGTGCTGTCATGGCAGGTTAGCCCTGTGACAGATTGACAGCCTGTCAAAATGCCACAGCCTACCTAAGTATTGAAGAATTGAGGGGTTTTGAAGGTAAAAGAGGGTCCAAACTAGTACTAGTAAGGTGTACCTAATAACGCATCCAGTGAAAGCGACACATGTGAACAGTACCTGACAGAGACCGCTGACGTTGGAAGTCATGCAGAAGAAGTAAAACTAAACAGACCATAGAAATCCTTCTGTGCATGCCAAAACTCTGACGGAAGTGATGCGTAACCATTCAGCTACCAGCTGGCTGTCAATCACAGCTAATGTCCGGAGGTGGGCAGCTCCTAAGGCAGCCAGAGCATCTGCTGGTGGGTGTGGCCTCTGTGACCTGAAAATTTCTGCTCCTGATCAGACCACGTCGGTCCTGGATGGACTCTCGTTTTAGCCCGCTGTTGCTCTTTCTGCTCGAGGCTTTGAAATGAGCAAAGAAAATATGAGGGTTCATCTCTTCCTTTCCACCAATGTATATACTTACTTATCTTACTTTTCTGTGACAGTCAAGTATAAGCCTTGTGAGAGTAAATATTACATTTTATGTCATTCAGATTCATCAGATGTGCTCAGACAATCCAGACTCATACTATTGCAGTGCTTCTGTTGAAAGATTCACCACGATACAACTGTCTCCAAACGCATAGTTAATGAAAGAGACTGATACTGGATGGAAATTTTGAAGCAGAGAGAAAAAGAAAATGAAACAGAGAAAAAAGTGAGAAACTAACTTATACATGAGCTGGCCTTTCCTTTCTACTTAGAAAAAAAAAGCACACACAGCCGGCAGCCTGGCAGAGCCTGCTCCTCCCTCCCCCCACCTGTTCTGCTTGCTGTGTTATTTGAATTTCACCAATGTGACAAGAAATGGAGCTGGCAGAAAGGGAAGGGCCAAGGCCATGATGCACACAACGCCCACCAGGCATTTCTTATGTCGCATGCAATATTCACAGTATTTAGTCTTTACAAAAAGCCTGCGGAGAGCAAGCCGGAGCGTCAGCTGATTGTTTGAACAATTTAGGCTTTTTTAGGTCTTAAAAAGGTTCTTTGGTGTTGTGACTTTGAGAAAATACTATACTATCAGCTATTTTAAGCTCAACAAGAACTTGTGAGTAAATATGACCTAATTAAAATATGACATCTGCAGCATCTTTACTTTAAACACTGTGGGTCTGAAATCCACAAGTCTGCAAAATGATTTAATCTGAGCATTTATATTCTGCAAATGTCACAAGAATGGAATTTGTCTTCTGTTTATAGGTTTATTTTTTGATTTTAGTTTTTATGCACTCATTGAAAAACTGGACCCAGAAGGTTTCCAGAGTTGTATACGTGGATGCTCAAACTCGTGCATACAGTTTCACACAGAGCATTTACTGTGCAGGGGATGGTCTCCAGGCTTTCAGATAGCAGAATAAGGAGTGCGACTGGACTTAATTCAGACAGATAAGAGTTGAACATTGAGATAATCCTGTTTCAGCTCTATTACAAACAGCCAGTATATGTGCTTTTTCTCCAGGGCATAGAGACATCGCTGCAATGGCCAGGTACCTGCCACCGGGAAAACCTTAAGTACTGACTCTCTCTCTTAGACACAGGAAAAACACCCCAAAACAAAACATAGAGAACAGCTTCTTTAGTCTAGCTTCAGTAATTTCTCTGTGGCAGAGAGAAACATTTTGCTCTTCAGGTGTGACTGGTTGTATCACGTTATACAGCTGCTGTTATTTCCATGCACATCTTTACTGTATACAGAGATCTGACGAAGTACTGAGAGTAAACAAGTAAATAAATCTGTTTTAATAAGTGTTTTACTACTTTTACTACGTTATATTAATACTATTAGTGCTTTTAACATCTTAAAAATTGGGCAGCTCTCAACTGCTCCTATAATAAAAATACAAAAACAAAACTGAATGCATAAAATGAAGTGCTGGTTTTTCTTAGCCCAGAATGGGCCTCTGAGGGGGTGACTGCACATTTAAGCTCAATCATTTGACTCACTGCTACTGCTACACAGTAGCAGTGAGTCAAATTTCTTTTGTTAACAGTAATCTACTACTTTTCATTTCTGAAAGTTTGAATAAATATTAAGATAACAACTATTGTTGTACTTGAATTAAAAAAAACAAACAAACAAACCCCAAACCGGCTTTACAAAATCATTGTTTACGGTGATTTTGCTTTCTTAATTGGGATGGGACAAGGGTCCTGAAACTAAAACAAAAAGATGATTTTTCACATTTTAAGTGTTTCTTATGACACTGATTTAAGTTCAAGGCTTATAAGTTCCTTCTTTTGTTCATATTGGACCTGATGCAGTACAGCGGGGAGCAGTGTTGGTCAAGTTACTTGAAAAAAGTAATCAGTAACTCCCCCAAAAGTAATCCCGTTACTTTACTCATTACTTATTTTCAAAAGTAATTAATTACTTAGTTACTTAGTTACTTTTTAAAAACACGATTTACAACCTGAATAGGTGATAAAGCAATAGATCTTTCAGCCCAATTCTACTTTTTCTACATAATCCATCATACAAAATGTAATCAAATGGAAAAGTCTCTTTTTAAAACTTGTTTTATTAGTTTTAATCTTTTAACTTTATGCATCAAGCAAAGATTTAACTATATGCAACATTCTCTGACTGGAAGAAATTTGTTTAACATTTAAACTTATTTTCTGCACATTCCAGAACATAAAATAATTTTTTTTTTGTGTTTCTCTGTGAGTTTCCCATTACGTCGTAGCGCACTCGGTGCTTGCTTGGAAGTTCAGGGGGGTTTTTTCGCTGTAAAAAGAAGTTTTCTTCCCACGCACAACGGACACTAATGTTTTTGTCACTTTTTATGGAATCAAACTCAAAGTAAGGTCAGTACTTCCACGCTTTAAACGCTTCACGCTCATACTCTCTCCCGCACTCGATATATGATCCATTGTTGATCTGCACACAGCTGTTGTCACGAACGTCGCACTCGCTTACGTCTCTGTCATGAGACATTCTCGCAAAAAATCACGGTTTTAGTAATGCAGTAACGCAGCGTTCCTACGGGAAAGTAACGGTAATCTAATTACCGTTTTTGCAATAGTAATCCCTTACTTTAGACGTTACCTGAAAGAAGTAATCAGATTACAGTAACGCGTTACTGCCCATCTCTGGCGGGGAGTAATGTCATGACTGACAGCTGCAGTCACAGAAAATCTTTCTTATCTCTCTTCAGGGATTAAGTACAGATGTAGTGCTGAGAAGAAATGCAGCATTTACTGTCCATGACCGTGACTGTGTGTTTCAAACCAATAAAGAGAGATGTGATGTAATTTCTTTAAGAAGTCTTCAGGAATAATTCTCCAGGCTTCTTGAAGGACATTCAAAGCTGTTTTCCTGGATGATCACACACTGCTTCACTAATGTTGAGGTCCGGTTTCTGGGGAGGTCAGTCCATGACTGATACTTCCAGTTTTCCTTCTTTAGGTTAGCTTCTTGAGAGCTAAACTTCCACTGAGAAAATTTCTGATTCTTTGGGAATCAGCTTGTTGGTACAGAATTAACTATTTTATATCTGTCCAATTGTGTCATGTTTTGGCATTCTTGCATAGATTGTTCAGGACTTTCCTGGAAATGAGTGGAAAAGCAGCCAATGTCCAAAGAAAACCTTTGAAAGACCTTCAGAAAGTCTGGAGAACTATTGCTTGAGACCCCTTAAAAAGTAACAAAACAATCTGGCTCTTCAGAACTAAAATGTTAAAAAACTTAGGGGTGACTCAAGACTTTTGCACATTCATGTACATTTAAGGTCCTTTAAGTGTACTCATGCCCTGAATAGCTGTCTACAAATTACTCCACATGATTTTGTTGAAGGCTTATTGTATTCAATATATCCGCATTTGTCTCAAAGCACTAAGTTGTGTAAGTGCAATTTACCTGTGTGATGTTTCTATTTGAAACAATAAAAAAACCCTTTCTGGTTCATTTCATCCGGAGTCTGTTTTGGCCTCGCTGGAGATTAACCAGAATGGAAAACTCCTCAAAGGTTTTTATCATGTCGGACTATAAACATCGCAGAGATATTTGATAGCAAAGTACATCAGAACTGTTAAAACAATAACTTCTTGGATTGTTTTTGGTAACAGTATGACTTGTGGTGTTTTTCCCACAGGCACCTTCATCTCAGCGTTCACAGTGCTGTGCGGCGCTCGCAGTGAGCTGATCTCAGAGCGAGGTGTTTGCTGTGTATTCTGGCTCAACGTAGCAGCAGCCCTGATTCAGATCCTCACAGCTGTTATCATGGTCGGATGGATCATGAGCATCTTCTGGGGAATGGACATGGTCATCCTGGCAAGTCAGTAGCAGCTACTAGTGTCTGTGTTTGTCTTCCCCTTTGCTTTCTTTTGTCCACATGTGTCACATGCACTTTTAAAGTTAGTTTCAGCAAGCAAAACATAAGGTCCGGGGACCAGAATTGGCCCAGTAAAGAGTCCGATCTGGCCCTCTGAATGGTTAAAATAAATTAGCATAAATTTTGATTTGTGTTTTTCTGTGGATCATCTGTGGATTAACAGAAACTTTTGTTTAAAATTACAGGACAATCTGGGCAATGAGCTACTGGAACTTTTTCCTGTAATTTAACAGATTTTGTTCTTACCATTTAAGCACAGATTTCTTTCATTTAATACCGAAACATTTCTTTGTCATGTCAAAAAACTCAGACATACTGTTGAAATTACACTTCTTTTCCTTATATTGAGTTATTTCATGGGTTAAATGTGTAGTTAAATTTATTTACACTGACAGAAAGGGGAGTTTCACCGGTCTGGCCCAAATCAGCCATCGCTGATGGCAGCCAAAGCCCTCCCATGTGCTCCAAAAATTACTCTGTTTGCACTAAATGGCCTCCAGTAAATTATCTTTAGTTATTTAACACTGACCTGCTGCTGTTAAAGCAGAACTTATTTTATTTCACTTAGGAAATATCAAAGCTAAATATTGCATCCTCAAGACGTGGCAGAGCCGAAAAATGAAACAACATAATTACGACCCATTTTTAAAGAATTGTATGATCAGCTGGAAACCAGGGCGCTCGGTGAGATTTGTTGCTGGTTTGGGTCTTTTCTGTGGTTTTTATTGGTGAAAAAAACAAAAATAAAATAAAATAAAGCAGGATAATAGCAGCATTATCCTTCAAGGCCTGTGTTGCAAAGGGATGCAATCAGTGGCTCTGTATTACAAAGTTGTTCAAAGGGTTTTACATAAATCGTGCAGAAACATGAAAGAAAGAAAGATGCAGAGAACAGACATGAAAAGGTTGGGTAATTTTACCACCCTCTCTGTCAGGAACTCAGCCTCTCCTTAGGCACTGATGCATGAACAAGTGCACACACACACACACACACGCACAAGAGTCACCATTGTCTCAGTGCAGCCTTTGAATTATCCACAGCCCTGTAAGTGTCCTTATGTGAGGTAGCCTAATTGCTGCCTGCCTGCGCCACCAGAGTGTATCGATTCGCACACGCCTGCGAGAACGTGCGTGTTTGTTGTGCGCGAGGTACAGTAATTGTGTGTGTGTGGGAGTGAGCGGCCCCCCCGGTGTGTTTTTGTTCACTGATCCCCGCTGTTTTTCAGGCCTCTGGGCACACATCTTCTGCAACTGTTACTGTAAAAATCATTCTCTGGTAGCATGTTGAATATTCGGGTTTGCGTAAGATGACTGTTTCCCAGTTGGACTGAAATAACGCCGGCTGTTTATTTAGGAGATCAGTTGTTATTCAGTTATTCATTACCACAATACGCGGTAGCTTTGAGAGTTCATGCTCGTATGGGCTGATTCAGCTTTCTTCCTCTATGCATTTAATGCCTCTGAAAATGTGGTCTCTGTGTGAGTTTCCTCCCTCTCTCCCTCTAATGAGCCTGTGCTGTATATGATCAGTTTCCTCTCTCTTCATAACTCCAGCTCCACATACATGGCTGTCGCCCTCTTCTTTTTTTCCCATCTATCTAATGATCGTGGTGTTATCTCCCTCCCACTGATCGCCTTCCATCTGCCTTTTTTCTCCATCCAGTGATTGTTCCTGTTTGATCTTCTCATATCTTTGCTTCCTCTCTTCCTCTCCTTCCTGCTCACTCTCACATAATTCCTCCCACTCGCTGCCCGCTCCCCAGTCTTCCTCGCCACCTCAGTTTCTTCTTCAGTTTTTGGTTTTCCCTGGTTCCCGTCTCCATCTCTCATCCCATCGATCCAGTGGATGAGGGTCATGTTACTGTAAATGTGTTCATTTGATCATGTAATGTACCCTGCCACTCAGATGTTTGAGGTCACTTCCAAATGTCCTTGCTTTTAAAGAAAAATAAGTTAAAAAAAAACAAAAAACAGACAAACTTTGAATTAATTTGAAATGCTGCAAGTGACAAATGATTTATGGTTATTACTGGAATATCTACTTAAGCATACAGATGATCATTGTCAGCCACCACTGCTCCAGTACAAAAAAATACTGATTATAATATTTAATAAATATGAGATGATAAATAACTGATTATTCTGTTAAACAATAACTTTTAAACTAAGATAAAAACTCATTTTGTTTCAACTGTGAGGATGTTTACGTTACCCCCCAAAACTGCTGCGTTTATTTGTAGCTCAAAAGGGTTTCATAGTTCATACTGAACTGTTTTCTTTGAACTACATCAGTGCTGTCAGCTTCACACATCACCTTAAAAACAGTGAAACGTGTTCTCACTAACCGTCTCTTGTCTCTTTTCTCCCCCTCTACGCTGCTCCTTCACGAAAGTTTCTGATGGTAGGTGTCTCTTTTTTCCCTTCTTTTACAACCAACAGTCCCCCACTGAGTTAATAAAACTGCGGAGGATGTAGAAGCAAGTCAAAGAAATAGCGAACATCGAGCTTTTTTTTTTTTCTAAATTTAACACAGTTATTGTAAGCCAGAAACAAACAGTTACCCTTAAAGGACTTCAACACAAATCGGAACGTTCTCACGATCTTGGCAGCAAGAGTTTGGCAACTCACTGCTTTCTATTTGTGTGACACCGTCCTGCTCATCAGTGGACTGAGCTGTCATGGAGCCTGGTCTGCTAAGCTCAGTAAATGTTCATACACATCCAGCCATGTTTAATCCGACATACCTGATTCGAAACTATGGTATCGCACCATGTAATATGACTAAAAGCTTAGTGACGGCTTTACTAACTGAGCTGAGTTTACCTATGGTGTGTGTGATTAAAGAGCTCCACAAGAATGCTCAGTTCTCATTCCCAGAGTTAACCATCCATTTTCTTAACTGCTTGTCCATCTTCAGGGTAAGGAGGGCTGGAAGGACCAGGAAAATCCCTGGATGACCATGCCTACCCATTTAGAAACACCATTTAAGCCAGGCTTGTCCAACTCCAGGCCTCGAGGGCTGGTGTCCTGCAGGTTTTAGATCTCACCCTGGGTAAACACACCTGAATCAAATGATTAGTTCATTACCAGGCCTCTGGAGAACTACAAGACATGCTGAGGAGGTCAGTTAGCTATTTAAATCAGCTGTGATGGATCAAGGACACATCTAAAACCTGCAGGACACCGCCCCTCGAGGCCTGGGTTTGGACACCGCTGATTTAAGCTAACATGCATGTCTTTGGACTGTGGGATGAAGCAATGTTAGACGCATTTAGAACAAGCACACTCCAGGCAACTGGTGGATTCTGAGTTATTTGTCATGGATAACAACATTAAACAAAGTCTGCATGCTTGTTCTGTTAGACAAACCCAAGTCTGCTGCTCCACTCACATGACTCCCTCCTCCCACTTTAACATATATCCAACACACCGCGTAATCACAGTACTGCACCTAATCTGCCAGTACTTATTCTAATGCAGAGGGTATGGGCATACATAGACTCTTCCAGGAGTTAAGCTGCTGCCATCACTGCTGCTGCTGCTGCTTACAGTGTTTCAACATCTTCCCCCATGGCATCATCCTGTAGGTTTTGGGGGAGATTTGGAGCTTTTTCCTATGGGGGAAATAAGCATTACCTTTCCTCCCTCCCTGCAGAGATAATGCTTGGTTTATAGTTCTGGGTTAAATGTGCGGCAGACCTAAAACACTGCAAACTACACTATGCACCTTGCCAACCTCTGTGATAGGTCTATTTGGAAGCATTGTGCTGCATAAACACAGTACATTTGCTTAACTGTATTAAACTTGCTTGTGCAGTATAGGCACATGCCATTATCTTGTTGCCAAAGCTCTGTTCTCGTTTCTATTGACTCTTATTTGCGCTTTATTATCTCCAAGCCCAGCATGTTCAGCTCACCTCCACCTGTGATGGCAAAAAGATGCAGAAACAGCTGTGCAAAAGTATCTCCAACAAACACAGGATTCAAAGCAGCCTAGTTTTGCCCCTCATGCCTCGTGGTAGTCCCCACCAGGGTCCTGCCAAGTTCCGCTTTCAATTTTGCCAAATTGAATGAAATGAAGAGTAAAATCATGACTGCTGTCAACAGTTCAAAATGAATGATTTGTAATTGCATGCAGGCATTTAAAAACCTTTTTAAAATTGATAGCAGGGACACCAAATGATAGAGAGCCTTGTGTTCCCTCCCTCCTCAGGCTGCAGAGACCAGGGCATTCCTCAGGATGTGTGAGGGAAGCCGTTCTCATGCTAGCTGGTGGGTCGCACGGACAGCTTGACCTCTTTGACCTCCCCAAAGGTGACTTTTTCATTAGTAATGACCTTGAGCTGACACCGTGTAGAGGCCGAGACGTGATGAATGGATTCATTAATGAACAGTGAAGCGAGAGGCTGCCCTTCATGGAAATCTTTAATCGCTGGCTGCTGATTGGTCACATTTACGTTTGCCGAAAATTATACTTAGCATTTACAGCCACAAGAAATATAAGGGATAATAATGATATTAATAATGAATAAAAACTACATGTGTTGACTTTGTTGAGTAATTATAAAAGTGATGTTGGATTTTTTTCATTGTTCTTTGATTTAATTGCCAAATATGGATAAAGGAAAATTCGTGAGCTGCTTGATTGAGCTGCCCCAGGACTTTTTATCACATGTTTTAAATGTTGTATCAGAGACTACCTTTAGCCTTAGCTTCTAGTGTATTGTGGCCTTTCCCTTACAGTTTTGTTATAATATCAAATCGCCAGTCTTCTCCATGTAATGTCAGGATATACAGTAACAGCCACAGCGCTGTATGTCCATCGATCTTCATACAAAACAATCCCAAAACTCAACATCACAGCACATGAGCCCGGGCTGTGAAACACACGTCTTCCTGTGGAGCATGTCATGGTTAAAATACAACACCATGCTACGCGATATTCACTCAACTCTGAGTAAAAACTCATGACAATGGATTGAAAATCTGCAACCAGGCGATTATCTTATCCTTGCTAATAAAGCTAATATGTTTTTTTGCTGGTCACATGATGTGCGTGAGCCTAAAAAAACCTGAGAAAAACCGAGTTAAAAATGATTCATTCTTCCTGATGAATATTTGATTTGAGTTTTCATACCTCTTAAATGTGTAAATCAGTGCCAAAGGGATATAGCACATTATTCCTGCACTGTATCTAATTAACAGTCTCAAAATATCAGCTCCCACTATTAATCACTCTGGAAGACACACTGTCTGTCACATTATGATGAAGATAAAGTTACAGGCCCATGTTCGAACAGCTATTGTTTGTTAATTGATGAGAGTCGGTGGAAGCCGCCAGCTCCTCCCATTAGAAACTCCGAGCTCCCTTTTTGAAACAATCAGATCAGAAACATTTAAAGCTGATTAATTCACTGTTTCGTGTCACATGCAGCCAAACGTAAGTGGTGCGTTTGTGTGATGGATAGTGTGCAATATTCAAGAGGGAGACTGAAGAATGTGGTTCAGCTGTGTAAGTGGTCCTGAAGCTAAAAGGGGGAGAAATGTGCATCACTCTGTAAGTTGCGGTGGAATTGTTGAGCCAAATAAAGCCTTTCCCATGATACCCCATCAGCTTTCTCATGCACCACATCATTGCCCTATTTCCCTTAAAAAATACCCAAGAGTATAACAAGTCAAAAAGGCTATAAAAAATAAAAATAAAGTAAATGACAATGAAAAACAGTGTACTAGATCAAAATTATTAAGTGTGTTGGCAGGAAATAATTAATAAAATCAGGTTCATTTATACCCTATTTCTTTCCCTGATCACTAAGACTTTAGATGCAGATACCTTCGGGGAAGAACATTAATGGCCGGCTATTGTACATTTTTTAAGTTATAATAGAGTTCTGTTTTTTCTTTGGCAAGAGCCAGGACTTAAGGGACTGCAAATGCTTACGTTTAAATCACCATCAGCTATTTTATGTTCAGACCTGATTCTTGTGGATGTGAAGTTTGGTTTCTCGTTGATGTGTGACTGAGAGCAGTGGTAGGGTTTAGCTGGGAGCGGGCCACCACAATAAAGACTCTTAAAGCGATGAATCAGCCCGACATTTGTCTTCAGTGTAGCTGTTAATGGTACTGACTGCAACAACAATCACTTAACTGAGTGGTGCAAGGTCAGTGTTGCTTCAGGATGTGTTTTACATTAATAGACTGCTTATAGGGATTACGATAGAAATGATAAAACGACCTTACAATAGCAAATAAACAGCTGCAGTGTTACACTGTAAAGCTCAATCACTCACTGGCCATTTCATTAGGTTTACCTCACATGGCAGCAACTCTGTCCATTTAGGCATGCAGGCATGGTCAAGATGAAGATCAAGATCAGAGAATGGCCAGATTTCAATGGCCAAACTGATAGGAAGGCAACGCTAACTCAAATAATCTTCTCTGAATGCACTACACCTTAACGCACATGGGCCACAGCAGCAGAAGACCACTGGGTGCCACTCATGTCTGCTATAAACAAGAAACTGAAACTAGAGCTCACACTGGCTCATCAAAATTGGACATTAGGAGATTGGAAAAATGTTGCCTTGTCTGATGAGTCTCAATTTTGGCTGCAAAATGCAGATGGTAGGGTCAGAATTTGGCATAAGCAACATAAAAGCATGAATCCATCCTGCCTTTTTTAAAAGATTTAGGCTGCTGAGCCCCTGAGTACCAACTGAGCATTGTTTAAAGACCACAGCCTCCACAGTGGCCACAGTGTACCCGTCTTCTGATGGCTACTTCCATCAGAATAACTCACAAAGCCGAGGTCATCGATTTTTGAACATGACAGTGAGTTCAAATGACCTCCACAGTCATCGGATCTCAATCCAATAGAATGCCTTTGGGATGTGATGGGACAGGAGATTCAGCCAACAAATCCACAGCAACTATGTGATGCTATCATGTCAACATGGACCAAAATCTCTGAGAAATGTTTCCAGCAACTTGTTGCATTTGTGACACGAACAATTAAGGCAGTTCTGAAGGCAAACATGGATCCAACCCATTACTAGCAAGGTGTACCTAATGAAGTGGTTGTGACTAGTCTACTGACTAGAGTTTAAACAATAGCAAATCTCACCAACAGCACTTTACTGTATTTTAACAGTGGAATTTGTTTGCTGCTGAAAACAGTAAAAATGCTCCTCAGAGCGTTTTTAAATACAGGTACGCGAATCATTTCTTATGACATATGAAATAGAAAAGTGGACTCGTAATAATACAAATTCATTCATTCATGTGATTTTTACCCCATACTTTGTAATGCTGATATATCACTTTGAGGTTTTTTTTATGATATTCGTTATTTTAGACAAATGCCTTTTAGGAAGATTTCTGTATTTTAGTTGAGAACACCAATATTTTTATGTTTTAAATGTGCACATGTCGTACAGTGTTAGTGTGTGAACATAGAGGTAATGATAATGATGATGATGGTAATGATGTCTGTAATGGTGATGATATCTTATGCCTTACAATGGACTGATGTTCTCTCACATGTGTTTCTGTATGTGTGGTGCTGGAGTTTCTTTTCATAGATCTAAATATGAAACAATTTTGTCACAATCTTGGTTTTTTTTGTGTTTCTTTAGTGTGTTTAAGGGGGAACATTAAATAGATGTTATGCTTTTTTTTTAAATTGTGGAACAGTATTTTTTTTTTCTGCATGAATCTTTGGTGTCAAATGACCACTTGCATAATTTATGATTGTGGCTTATTTTTGTGGCTTTGCTGCGTCGGTATTAAGCAGTTTGAGGCAAAAGATATAAAAGTCTTGCAATTAAAAGTCATTTTAGTCCAAATATGGGAAACTTGTAACTGTATGGTGCGTGCTTTGTTGAATCAATATATGCCTCAGTCATTAACTACAATGACTTCTCGCACATTTATTAACTGCTTCCTACTAACCTAACAGAAAGACTTCTTGGTTATTCATCCTCTAAATTAAAGGTGTTTCATATTTGTGGAGTGTCTCACCTGCATTCAATCTGGTTTAATAGCTGCAGTCTCTGTTTTTCATCTGGAAACCATAAAGCAGCATTTATGCTTTACATTTTTATGTAAATAAATCATTTGTGGATGGACTTTCATTTGACTCGTATTTTTGAACACGTCTGCTGGTTGCAGACCGTGACATGTTTGACATTTATCTCCAGTATAAACTTGATTGTTGAAAGTCTGTTTCATCCAGAAACTGCAGTAATGTGCAAAAGTCTTGAGCAACCCTGTATTTCTGTATATTTTGCCCGCAGACTGTCTTGTCATTTTTAAGACCAGTGGCTCAAGAACTGCTGGTCTTGAGCAATAGTTCTCCAGACTTATTTTCTCTCCCACTTATTCTCAGTCCAGCCTTGTACCTTACCATTTTCATCTTTATGTTTGATTGTTAAACCATTTAGCATTGAACTATGAATCATTCAAGCATAAAACAGGCACCAAACCCAAGGGAAGAACCAATGCTGTGTCTGCTTACAACGGACAATTTTGCAAAGATCTCATTTAAAGTTGTACCTTTAGGCACTTTATTAGTAAAAGTCTGCTGCAAAAACAGTTAGACCCTATTTCTTTTGTTGAATCTACAAAAAATGCTAAAGATAAAACAGTCTGACATAAAATTGTATGTTTGTAGTGATTCTCAAAGAGCAGCTGAAAACTGCATGTAACTCATGTTGTGTAGTGTGTCCTTCAAAAAAACCCCCAAAAATCTGGACAAATTAGAGGAAAAAAGAAGTGCAACGCCTTGTGCAATTTGCACACTGCCTATTATTTAGGCAGTGTGGGAGCATTTTGGCAGACCAAAAGGGGGGTGCTCTAACAATGTTACTAAAAATTAAATAATTAATTATTGTTGAAATTGCGCTTTTTAAAGGTATCTTTGGTTGGTCATCATCTGTTCAGGTTATTATAATTATTTTTCCTGGTTCAGCCCACTTGAGATCAGATTTGCTGTATGTGGGCCAGGAGTTAAAATGTGTTTACCAAATATGAGGTAATTTAGTTTATCTGATTTAGAGGCTGAGATGTGCAGGTCTTGATTACTTCATAAAAATTAACTCCCATGTTGCTAAAAAAAATAAAATAAATGTGTCATTGACCTTCTCCACACTTACGAGGACAAACCTGGTGCAAAAACACGCTGAAGGAACCTGGTAAACCTGCAGTAAGAGCAGTTTGGCTTTTTGATTGTGCACAGACTTGATTTTGGTCACCAAATAAGGATTTCTTACCCCTTGCTTTTTCTGACCAGATGTCTCTTCCACGGCATCCTACTAACACGCCCACCATCCTCTGTGTCATGTAAACACAGCCACAGTTGAGACAAATCTCTTTCAGCTCAGCAAGTTGGAGTGTCAGTACAGACATTCATGGCACTGGGATGAAGCACAGCACCTACGTGGGCTAGAAAAACGTCTTAATCCAAACATGGATGCTGGATGCCCGTCCTAACGAACCCCACACAGCCAGGGTTTATAAAGTAGTTCTAAAAAGTATTTTGAGTTTGATAGACAGGATGTTCAGATAGATTTTCTAACATGATTATACAGTATTGTGTGAAAGCCTTGAGGCACTCCTAATTTTTTTAACATTTCTTTTCATTTTTAAAGTGATCTCGAGCAACAGGGAGAAAGGCTGAGGTATTCCAGATTACACAAGAACTGGACTGAAAGTCAGTGTCAACAGGTCTTAGTTTTCATTATATCACTGTAACCATTTTCCTTTTTCTTAGCAAAACGTGCAGAAACAAAGGGTGGCTCAAGACTTTTGCACAGTACTGTTTATACAAGCAGACTGTACTTGACTAGATTTAATAAAATAAAACCCTGATCAAGCTTTCCATACCAATACTTAATTGTTGTATAATTAGTTTGACTATTTTCTAACACACAATAAATACATGCTTCAGGGTCAGAGGTATAATTTATGACCTTTCATGTGTGCATTTATATGAATCTCTCATGCACACACACACACACACACACACACACAGCATTCAGTGTCAAGTACATGCGCCTGATTTAATCACTGCTGCTGTGTGTAATCTCTCCCGCCTCTGCACACCGGATATTTTTAATAAAGCAATATTGTACCTGCAGCCAGCTGAGTTCCATATAATTATCCGTCTGGCTTCAGGCTGCTTATGTTTTGTTTTCTCTTCAGGATGTTGTCTCTACTCCAGCGGCTGACCTGTCAAGTCGCTGTGGGAGAACACGGCAGCGCCATGTGCTGGATATTTAGTGAATTACATCAGGTTCTTCGTGCACTTGACACTGAAAGCACCGGTTAACTGAAATTACTTGCAATAGGTTTGGGTTTCTCCAAACAAAAAGTATCACAAAGAGTGTGTCTATCGACGCCCACTCGCCCCAAAGCAACTCACCTCCCTGTGCGCGGGTAACAGCATGATTTATTTGCTCGGATATTTTAAGTGTGCGGGTTCACATCGTCTGAATATTTCAGCGTGCCTTCTCATTTCCCAGGCTCTGTGCCAGTTCCTCCACTGCTGGCCAAGACGTAGCTAAATAAGGAAGATGACCTCTCTCCCTCTACTGTGTTTTCACTCGTTTTCTCTTTTAAAAACAGATTACAACCTAACCGAGGGGCCAACACACATCAAAATCTGGGTTATACACACATATGCCTGGGTAACAGTGATAACGTAAAGCAGGGACCACACACACACATAAACCCACACAGAGACACCCCGACCAGAGTAGCTCAAACATTTACTCTTTTCATATATTTTATTACAACGTTCAGTTAAGAATGCATTTCGATTACAAAATTGAAACCCTCTGCTCAGTGATGCTTAATATGAAATATAAAGTAGAGATTTCTAGCTACAAACCATCTGCTAGAAACATCAGGCACCTTGTTTTTTTTCTCCCCCCCCATTTTCACACCATATCATCATATCATCATAACAGTATTCACACAGCAGATCACAGAGAACTTTCACAGTCACACACCAGTTAGGAGGATTTTTCACCCAAGGAGGCGTGGAGAGATTACCGACTTGTGGGAGCGAGCCAAGCCCACAAGCTGATCTTGTGCGTTATCAGGACGAGCGCTTCCCATCCAGGTAGTTTGTGAACATTCAGGTCCAGTGTTTGATGTGTGAGCTATGACCTGTTTCTTCTGGGAAACATTCATTTCTAAGCAGAGAGCAACATGGATCCATGTGGTTTGTTAGTTTCTGACTGAAAATAAGGAAAAAAAACAATTCAGATTCAGGAAATCTGAATTATGTCTGACAGAATTTAAATTTTGAGCAACAATGATGCTAACTTGGCTAGTTAGTCCATATGAACACTGTTTAAAACCCAAAAAGAGGACAGAACCTATTTAAATTAGAGACTTTCATCCTCCTGTGAATTAAGCTTGACTTAATCTCATGCCCAAAACAATTTCCCTTAGAAGCTACAAGCTATAAACAACATCATTTAGTACTGTCTGGCTGCATTAATACACAAGATCCTGTATACTACATATACATATGGTAAAGTCACACATTCTTGTGTGTAAGTGCTGAGAAATATCACTTTGTCACCCCTTAAAAAAAAAAAGAAAAAA